CATGTTTTTTGTTAAATAGGAAGCGATAACTTAAGAAATATTTAATTTAAGTAATTAAGAATTTAGAGGAAGGAGAAGATCCAGATTTATCATCAAACAAGATATTTCCGAATCTAATAACCTATTTCTTGGGCATGATGCCTTTTTACATGATTCTCTATAATTGTCCATGATATTGCTTAATAGAGTATGACATTCAAAACAAAACAGTTTACATTTTTTTTTTTTCTAAGGAGACTAACTTACTCTACATTATTGGATTAAAAAATTTGACTGCTCTATATATAGTTTATAGATTTTTTAGGAATAGAAAAGTAATTCTATTTTAGTTCTTCTTTGTATAATAAAAAAGATAGGATTGATAGAAGAAGATAAGTTTTTAAAAAAAGGGATATAAGGTATATGGAATAAAGTTAAGTTTACTCTTCCAAAATATTTCTTTATTTTTATGACTTTTCGGGATCCACTTTACTATCCTATCTTCAGGCTAGAAACAAAAAACATTTGTGTTATTTATATATATTTATATTTTTAAATGCATATATTTTTATAACTTATCATATTAATAACTGATTTGCCAATCTTACCCATTTCTCATCTTTCCATCATCTAATTTTTTAAAAAAGACTTTATTATTATTATAAAAAAAGAATTTTTATTATTATAAATTATCCCTAAATAGGATAATTATCTGCTCATTTAGTCAATTTCAATTTGTTAGCAGCTTTTTAACTTCAATTGTAATAATTAATGGCTTGGGAGGTGATATATTTTTTTCAAATTACCTGAGAGGCAAATGGTCTGTACTAAACTTCCAGAATACTGTTTGTAAATTTTATGGTACATTGAAGGGGAAAAAATCTATATTGGGTTACAGAATATTTTCAAATTCTAAACTCTTAATAATGGTCTTCTTCATTTGCTGCAAAATACAAACATGGTTCTTTATTAGTCTTGACAGAAGAAAGTCACACCTTTCTAATTTTTCCAGTGACTCGATGGCTGAGTATTATGGAAGTTTGTATCCTTGAACGATCAGCAATGATTAAAAACTCAAATTCTCAGATGGCGAGTGACATTTCTTTGAGCAGACTTAAAATTGAATATGAATCTCCAAAATTACTCTGTTTTTATAATAACAACTATTTTTTTATAATATAAAACAACTATATTTAGTCATATTAACATAGCACTGGTTTAAATAGTATATAAAAAACTTGAAAAAAAAAAATTAAAAAATGAAGTTTGCTAAGTTATATAAATATTCAGATGGATATTTTTATCATGCTTATTCACATCTTTCAATCATGTCATCTTTATCATAAGATAATGATGGATAATGAGCCATAAATTATTTCTGTAAAAAATTTTAAAAATTAGTTTTAACCAAATGTAATACTGAAGCATATTTCTTTTGGTCCTAAAACTTAAAAAACAGCTTATCAAATTGATAAAGTAATGAGTCAAATCAAATCATCAAACATACAATTGTTCTTTTATGATTTTAATATCACAGGTTTGGTCAGATGTAATTTTTTTATATTTATTAAAGGAAGTGAGTTAACTGTTCTACATAGCAGGGGTGATAGTCAGGGAGCAGTCATACTAAAATTTTTATTGTTGCCGAAGTTTCAACCCAAGCATGAGGGGTCATCATCAGGGCATGTTTTCAGCTCAGATGATGACCCACATGCTTGGGCTGAAACATCTGCAACAATAAAAATCTTAAAATTATTGCGTTCTGACTATTTGTCATCCTTTTTTATATTTAAGTTATTTTGTGAAATATATCTTTATTCTGTATTTATTTTTATCATTTATGTTTTACATTGATGTTTATATGAGTTTTCCTCATATTAAGGATCATCTAACTAACAATATATTTCACATTTTCTACTCATCCGCTATTAATTTATTCTAATTTATTACCTCGCATATTTTTATCTTCTAAACTTTGTTTATAATATTGATGTACTTCTTCCTCATTGTCATTCTTTTTGCATCCATATTTTTATATAAATATTTGGTCATATATTGAAATTAATTTAGTGAGGATATAAAGAGTAATTACCACTGGTTCAGTGTCACATAGCTTTTGAATATCTGCTATTTATTACTATTGTTCCCTTCACAGAAAATCAAGCTTGAGGCTATTTCGGAATGTGTTGCCAGGTGTGGAAGGGGGAGGGAGCTGTAGACTGACTCAGAGGGGAAGATGGCTACAAGAGATTCCCACTACCGTTAAGATTCCTCTCCATTCTTATTCCCATTCGCTCTCTTTTTTGTTACTGTTTTTCATCGCCTTTACATATATTTCTCATTTATACTGCTTATTACTGTATTTTTTTGGTTTTGGCCCAGGTTAATCAAGGATTTCATAATTTTCCTTTACTTTTATGACACAAAAATAAAACAAAATATTCAGCATTAATCCTGTGAATGTGCCTGTAATCAGAAATCATAGCGACTTGTGTCAATATGAGTGTCAAAGATTTTTTGGCCCAGTGGCAATAACACTTGTTTTTTTTTCAAATACTTACATACTTGTTTTGTTTTTGATCCACAAATAAAGATGTTTTCAGCTAGAAATGCAATAAGTGGTTTAAATTTTTTAATCCACGAATAACAGAATTATTAATAAAGAGCCTAAATGTAAGGAACTAATTGTACTGCAAAAACATTTGCACTTAAAAAATTCTATCCATCTTAATTTATTTAGTATTGTTTTTTCACCTTTCCATTTTACCTTTCACTTCTTTTACATGGATTTAACTAACGAAGATGTGTTAAATAATGTAATATTAAACAATAATCAAACACTAATTTAATGGATGACATCAAATTTTAGGAGTCACGATGATAGAAGATAAGTGTAGAAAGTAGCTACAGGGCTTCTTATGTTTTGTGGGTTGCTTTTATTCTCGTGAAGGTTCATTCTTGATTCTTATCAGCTATTTCTTATCCTCATTGATATAGTCTTACAAGACTTAAGTACCAAATTTTTGAAATGATAAACCGTCTTTCATTGTTAGTAATAATAAAAAATGGATGAATATAAACTAAGAAAGAATTTAATTGTTAATTAAAGAGTTGACTCTTAAGAATATTTGTTTGATAGTTGCAACTGTTTACAGTCATTGTTTTGTAATGTTTTCTATTTATATTTATACAATTATTTTCAAATTTTGCCAAACAATTTTTAAATTATATTTAATTTTTTAATAATGTCCAGCATTTGTTAGCCATAAATGTATTTTCATCATCTTTGAGATTCAAAAAGAAGTTGAACAAAAAACAATGTTTGATGTGCAAGTTTTTGTGAGATAATTCATTGTTCTATCAAATTAATTAGCTGTTTAGTAAAAGTTCTAGGACCGCCAGAAAGAAGTTTTCATTTTAAGCGTGGTAGAAACTAATTATTGATATTATTTGCAGATGTATATTTTATGAGCTAGGTTTTATCCGTCCTACTTCTGGTCTATTATACCTTAGCCAGTTACTGAAGGCCAAGCTGTGGAGGAATGGGGGAACTGGAATAGAGTGAAGGCTTGGTGACGGCCTTTACTAACTGGCCTAGGTATAGTTGCTCTTATAATTGTTATAATAGTTATATCTTATAATAGTTTTTTATCCAGTTGTGTTCTAATTAATATTTTTTAATTAAGAAAATATGCTTTAAATATTTTTTTTTTAAATTACTTAATTTGTATTGTTTTATTTTCATTGGGTCCTGCTTCTAATTTTTAGTATTCCGTTTAATATCCTAGGCTGGTTGTTTTTTCATCTTATAAAAGTATTTAAATTATGGACTTATCTTTTTTTACTTATCTTAGATACTTTAATCCTCATGTGGTTGATATACCTTCTATTCATTTGATAGTTGCAACTGTTTATGGTCATTGTTTTAGTAATGTTTTCGATTTACATTCATACAATTATTTTGAAGTTTCGGCAAACAATATTTTTATTATATTAAATATTTTAAATGAATTATTAAAAAAAGTGTATATGTTTGTAATATATATATATTATTTTTGTGAGATTAATAATAAGGGCGAACATCAATTCTATCTATATTAACATTTTTTTGTTCACTTATATTAATCTTCAACTTTATATATTATCTCATTTAAGTTGTCCATTTTGGTGCATTTTTTATTTCTTGCTTTATTCAACTTTGTTTTGTAGTGGTTTTCTGATAATTTTGGATGATTGGTTTCTAAAGAACATTTGATTAAACAATTCATTGAACTTTTAAACAAATCACAAAATAATGGATTAAAAAACAAAATACAGAAATAACTAATGAAGACATTTTTATATGCAAATATTTCTTTTCTTTCCATTAAAATTCAACTTTCAGCTCCAAATAATTTAACTAATTAAAAATATTTTATATGGAATCCTTGTTTATTTTGTTTTCATACTTATTCAGTACAGAAAACACACCATTGATAACACATAAGCTATTATTTTCCTGATATTCAAATTAACAGTAACAGAGCTAGTTAGTTAATGGAAGAACAAAGAGAAACATCTGTTTGTTTTTCTCCATTGCACATAAATTTGATATTAATTAATTTTTTTGTAAACAATTTTTAAATCCTTTCTGAAAAGATGGTTGAGAACAAATGTATTAGTAAGAAAATAAGCCTAGAATAGAATTAAAAATGTTATAAACTGAAGATTAATAGAAGAAACCAGTATAAGAAAATATTCAAGTTATTGTATTTTTTTCTATAAAAAATTCAAATTATACATATTTCATATTACATGTTTAATTTTGCTCATAGACTAAAATGAAGTTTATTTTATTTATTTACTTTTTTTGATAGGGGAAACTTTTTTTTTTTATTTGTTTGAATAAGCTTGGTGATTCAAAGATTGGTTGCAAGTTGGAACAATAATACTTCCTACAAAAGATGTTTGAAATATTTGTTTTTAATCTTATTATTTTTTAAAATATTTATTCATCTTTTTTTGTTATTTTTTTTCTCCAGAACAACTTTGAAGAAATGATGCAGAAGTATCAGCTTCTATTGACGTATATAAAGAGTGCTGTTACAAGAAATCATAGCGAAAAATCTATTAATTCCATTTTAGATTATATATCAACTTCAAAAAATGTAAGCAGTAATATTTTTATTATATTTTATATTATATTGAATCATCCAAAAAATTGTAAAATATATTTTATTTATTTCTAACAATGGGGGCTTCTTAAACACTTAGGTTCATTTAAACCTTCGAACAATATTTATTACACAATAACTTGAAGGTAGTGAAGATTAAACATCAAAATTTTCAAAAAGGAAAAGTACAAAAAGAAAAAATTTAATTTTGAAACAAAAACAACTTATTTGCCATCTTCGTATTGTTTTTTTAAAATTTCACCAATATTATTCTCCAACTCTACTTCTCTCTGATGCTCCTCATGGGCATAACGCTCAGTTAAGATTTGGCTTATTGTTAAATTGCTCCTGCAGTAGAAACACTGATGGGTGTTTAAAAATATTTAATGTCTGATATGTTTACAATCATAATTTCTATTGTATAATCATAATAATTTGTGCATAAGATAATATGATATAATATATTCTGCAATCTATCAATATGATGTTCTTTTAAAGTCTAAAAATTTATTAATTATTATCTACACAATAAATATATATTTATTAATTTATTTATTTTTCTCCCTTCCTTGCCTTTGGGCAAAACGGGTGTTGGCAACTTTGCATGGTATGCAAATATTGCCAATTAACATCTAACGGTCATGTTAACATAGGCTTCATCAGCTTGTTTCCAGGAGGCCTCCATCAGAAATTCTTCGCCTTCTCTGTCAGGAGCTCGTCCAGCAAATGGTCCTCTTTCTGGAATATTAGAATGAGCAGGGCCAACTGTTGTTTTCCACCCGTAAATAAAGGTCTTGAAGAACGGGTAGTTCTCTTTGGTCACCAACTGAGGGAAATCGTTCTCAGAGAGGACGTAGAGCCCAGTTTCACTCAGAAGTTTAGCCCTAAGTTCCTCAAAGACGGTGCAGTCCACAATCATATGTTTAGCTGTCTCTGGAACTCCGCAACTGAGGCATAGGCAATCAATGTCCTTTCCAAAGCCAAGCAACTTAGCACTGAAACCCCCATGCCCTGTGAGGTATTGCAAGACCCAATAGTCCAGGATATTTATTTAAAATATTTTCTCAAGACAGAACCTTTCGCGGTAGTCATCCAACACCGGTTCCAGTCATATATTGTATCTTGTTGAATTATTCTTTTCCATTTTTGAAGGTTCTTGACAATCCTCATCCGTATATGTTCCGGTAGACCTGCTGAGCCTTCTCTATTAAAAACATATTTTAATGAATCTTCACACACAAAAGAAGGTCGATAGGTACCTCTCCTGCTAAAATCTGCACTGCCTCATGAAACACAATCGACAACTTAGTAACTTGCAGCAAGCCGTCTGCTGAATCGACGCCAACCTGCGTTTCTGCTGGTGTGAGGAGTTTCTGGACCAAGCAGGAGACTATATCTCAGAATACAAGTTATCATATCACTCCATATCGTATATCACTCCATTATAAATGGTCATGGTAGCTGGGTATCTGAGTCCCCAAAAGCCGCCTCCCAGAATATATATATATATAAATTGGGTCGTGATGATCGGTCGGGCTAAGAATCGGAGGACCATACACCTAGGAAAGCCACACTGCCTACTGAGATTTCTCCCTCTTCCCCTTCGGATAGAAGAGACCCCATCAGACTACTAGAAGCAATTCACATTTACTGGACGTAGAAGTGATTACCCTACCCTATGTACTATAATCAGGAATCATGATGTGGTTTTCCAGGATATCAGCCTCCCTGAGGTTTGGTCCATGAATGGTCTGTTTCAGGAAAAGAAATATATTATCTTGTGTGCCTGCTGACTCTAAGCAGCCATAATCCACGGATCTAAACCAAATTGTCTCTGTCTCTGAGTGATTCGGTGGGAAGAACTATGCCAGATGAGCCTCAAAGGAATTGGCTATGGAACTATAGGTGGCCTATCATTGGGACCATGGTCTGTAGCACCATGAGATGGGATGACCCTATCCAGGCTATCAGTGCTTCCACAAACAATATACGTCTCTGTAAGAAGTTTTCCCATGATTTTGGGAATCATCAACGGATCAAATAATTTTTTTTTTAAACTACCAATCAATTCATATGATAGAGATCTGGGTGAAACCACAGTTTCAGAATCAATTTACCTGAAAAATAATATTCCCGAAAAGTCAACTTGACATGAATTTTAACAGATGAACTAATTGTTTTACAAGTAGAAGTTTTTATTCCCAAAAACTAATATTATTTTTAACATTTTTTTTCATATTAATAAAAAGTTTATTTAGACAACGATTATGTTTATTATTATGCACAAAAAATCATGGAAAAACAGACATGAAGCTTTTCAACAGTTTGTTATAGGTGTTTTGCTGAAAACACGGTTACTTTTAGGTGACGATAAAAAATCACATTTAGTCTATTTACGACCACTACCTCGGACCATCTCCTTCCTTAATAATGCAACAGTCAACTATTAAATATTCTAAAATATTTGAAACATGATTATTACAATATATTCTTCTTATTCGGCGTTACAACCCATTATTTGAGTCATAGCCTGCTCAAGCTTAGACCGCCAGTCCTCCCTGTTCCGTGCTGCTGCCTTCCAGTTCATAACACCGAGCAGAGATCTCGCGCCTGCAGCCACGCAGTCTTACCAGCGAAGCCTGGGGCATCCAACCCATCTGGTACCATACATTTGCCCAGCTAAGATCTTGTAAGGAACTTCGTTTGGATCCATCCTTATGACGTGACCAGCCCAGCGAAGTCTTGATACCTTTACGAATGTTGATAAGTCTATTTCTTTGTACTTTGCTCTTAACTCAGAATTCATTCTTCTTCTCCATGCAACCTCCCTCATATATACCACGATATATACGGCGAAGCACTTTTCTTTCGAAACTGATGCTCAAGGGCTTTAGTTGTAGTCCAACATTCTGAGCCATATGTAAGAACTGGTCGTATAATTGTCTTATAAATTCTCATTTTCGAGGCCTTCGACAACACACTACTTCTCAAAAGTTTATGGAGGGAGAAATAGGTGCGGTTTAAGGAGAGGATCCGTCTTTGGATTTCTTCTTCAATGCAGTTATTACGGTTGATCTGGGATCCTAGGTATATGAATGATTCCACTCTTTCAAATCTATGGCAACCTATCGTGACATGACTCCCACCATCTTCGTGAGTAGGTAGGGTGCACATATATTTGGTTTTTTTAACATTCACCGTTAGGCCAAGTCTTGCTGCAGATTCCTCTAATGCTTTAAAAGCTTCTCTTATGGCGTTTAGAGTCCTTTCCGCAAAATCCAAGTCATCCGCAAATCCTAAAATCTGGACTGTCTTGTTGAGAAGTGTCCCTGTTACTTGGATACCAGAGTCCCTAATAGCTTTCTCAAGGGAAAAGTTAAACACTAAACAGGCCAGGCCATCACCCTGCCTCACACCTGTCCTCGTTGTGAATCCTCTTGATAGCATTCCGCCCACTCTAACAAAGCATGTGTTGTCCTCCATCGTCATTTTAACTAGACAAACCAGTTTGGTAGGGATGCTCATATCCACCATTGCTTTATATGCTTCTACTCTGTTCACTGAATCGTAGGCTTGTTGGAAATCAATGAACAGGTGGTGAGTATGTATCTGGTATTCCCTTGTTTTCTCCAACAGGATTCTTAGGGTTAACATTTGATCTGTCGTAGATCTTCCTTTTCGGAATCCAGATTGATTTTTTCCGAGCTCTTGTTCGGCAAATGGAAGCAGTTCTATTGAAGAGTATGATGGATAGAATTTTGTATGCGGTGGGAAGGAGAGAGATGCCTCTGTAGTTATTACATACCGATACATCCCCTTTCTTATGAATGGGGCAAATCACCGTTTTGTTCCATTTAGCAGGTAGTCTTTCTTCTGTCCATATATCAATCAATAACTCTTGAAATAATTTTATTATTTCACCCCCACTACGTTTAAAGAGCTCAGCTGGGATATTATCGATTCCTGGAGCCTTGTTATTCTTTAATTTCCCAATTGCATCATTTATTTCCTCTTCATCTGGGGGCTCTATAAATACCTCATTGCCCATACTTACATGATTGCAGCTTCCTCTGTGACCAGCTTGTCATCGTTTTCCCTACAGGCATAATTCAGGGGATGGAATCCTCTGCGGTCTTTATTAATCATTTGAAAGAATGCCCTGCTACTTTTTTCATTGAAAGCAGCTTCTATGTCAGCAAGCCTCTTGGTTTCCCACTGTCGCTTCTTCCGTCTCCTTGTGTGAGTTTCTCTTCTTCTTCTTTTTTCACGGTACTCCTCTACATATCTTTTGGTGTGTTTCTTCTGGATCATAGTTCTGTATGCCCGATTTTTTTCCTCATTTAGTATCCTGCACTGTTCATCGAACCATGGTTTTCTCCTTCCTTTTCCCTGATCCCAATTACTTCCTTTGCTACCTCATTCATAGCTGTTTCACACTCTCTCCATTGATTATCAATGGTTTCATTATGGTCAATGGTCCTAATCTTTGTATCCATTGCAGCAGTGAACCTTGTTTGAATCTCTTCGCTTTTGAGCTTGAATGTGTCAAATCGCAACACAGGAGCACCATTCTGTCTTAGATCCGTACTGTAACTTTAGAGGTTGAGATAGTGGTCCGAGTCCACATTTGCTCCTCTGTAGGATCTCACATCCATCAGCGAAGACCTATGTCTGGTACTAATGAGCGCATGATCAATTTGAGATTCTACCATTAGCTCCAAATTTTCTCCACGTAGCCAGATGTATTTTCTTGTGAGGGAAGGAAACATGTGCTACCAATGCAAAGACCTTTTGAGGCCGCAAAGTTTATGTGTCTCTTCCCATTGTCATTGGAAATATCATGTAGGCTATGGAGACCTATTGTTGGTCGATATGCAGGTTCTTTACTTACTTGTGCATTATAATCACCTAGCACAATCTTCATGTCGTATCTGGGAATGCTTTCGACACACCTTTCAAGCTCTTCATAGAAGGCATCTTTCACGTCCTCTTCTGACACTTCTGTAGGTGCATGGACACATATTAGGCTAATATTATAGAATTTCCCCTTAAGTCGGAGCATGCAGAGTCTAGGACTAATCGGTTTAAAATCAATCACATTCTGACATAGCCTTTTGTTAACAACAAAACCAGTCCCGAATGTGTGGAGGTGGTCATCACAGCTATAATATACAGTGTGGTCTCCTTTCTTTAGGCTACCCTGCCCGGTCCACCTGATTTCCTGAATGGCAGCTATGTCTATTTTATAGTTTTCAAGAGTATTTAGAAGCACTTGCAGTGGCTCCAGGTCTATAAAGTGTCAAAATATTCCATGAGGCGATCGTATATTCCAATTGATGTTTCCTGATTTGTTTTTCATATATCAGTCCGGCTAATCCTTTCTGAGCTTTGTAGATAAAATAATTTAAGGGGAATAGAATATCAGCCTATTGCCCCCGAATCAGGTGGTGGGGCTGCCTCCTCAAAGTGCCCTGACACACTTCCCCATCCGGGCGCGGCTACCTAGGGAAGGTGACCCTAGGGTGTGTACTGTTTATGACCTTCGATTATGATGTGAGTGAGTGTGTGGTAGTGTACTGTATAGAGTATATATGTGTGAGCGTCAGTGTACTGTTCCCCCAACCTAAAGGGCCAGTGGCTATCTGCGGCACTATGACCGGGCGATGGGGCCGCCACCTCCCTACGCCTATTACAATAAATTGTTCGTGTTTATTACAATGCATCCCATATCACAGAAAATAAATAAATAAAAGCTTTGCAACAGTTAATTGTAGTCATTTTTCTGAAACACGGATACTTAAAGGTTAAAGTCACTGGATAGAAAATCACATCATTTCTTTTCACAACTTGAGGTGAATCACAAAATTTTTCCAAATAAACCTCAACTTAATTAATATGGCCTTAAAGCTTATTAAACGAGGAAGTTTTAGTAAAAGTGGGGTAAATGTAGTATAGTTGAAGGGTGATAAAAAAAAAAAATCTCAATTAATTTAAAACTTTTTATTAAACGGAACTTTCGTGTGTTTAGCCACTCAGAAATTTTCTATAATTATTTTTAAAAATGACAAACTCTACTTTCTTTCAAAGTAAACTTTGTCTAGTTTGCTATGGAGCAATGTTTAATTACTTAAATCAAATATTTTTTAAGTTATCGTTTTCTATTCAACAAAAAAAAACATGACTCACTTAAATAACCACTAATCTTAAATTTCCTACTTTTCTGCTGGAAATTGGACAATTGTTTTTATGAACTTTTTTGTAGATCTTGATGTCTTCTATCAACCTTTTAAATATTTCTCTCTACTTGCGGGACACCCTGTATATATGTTCCTGAAGCTTGGAATCTAATTCACATACATCTCAAAGTTTAATTTGTACTTTTTAAAGAGTAATTGTGATAACTTGTTTTCTATAAGCTGTTTTTGAAACATATTTTAAAACAATTACATTGATTTGTGTAACAGTTATGTTGATTTCAGATGGAATTACTCCAAAATTTTTATGAAACAACTTTAGAGGCCTTGAAAGATGCAAAAAATGATAGACTATGGTTTAAGACTAATACAAAATTAGGAAAATTATATTATGATAGAGAAGATTTTACAAAATTGGCAAAAATACTGAAGCAGCTGCATCAATCTTGTAAGGTAGTAATTTTGTAAGTTATTCTAAGTGTTAGTATTGATTCTCATGAATTAATTAAATCATATTTGAAGAAACGGTGACATAATTTTAGGATTCCTTTGTCTGTAAAAACCTTCTGACCAATGATTAATCACAGTGGGTATATTTTCATATCAAATGATGGTTAGTGTTTCCATTTTATTCATGCTTCAATTTATACAAACAGCACATCTTTAAGTTGTAACTATTGGATTTTATTATCGTTCTTTATCTCATATAACAGATTGTTAAATCACTTTTTTTTTTTTTTAATTGACCCTTAAATACTATAATTAAAAAATATTATAAGGAGTATCCTTATCAAATGTAACCTAATAACTGATAATAATAACAATTTTTAATTGTATATATGAGTGTGCTTGTTAATATTATAAAGAGTGTTTAGAATTGTATAATTGTATTTCTTGTATATAAAATAGAAGAAATATAAGAGTGCTATTATTTAATAGCAAAAAGAAAAAAAATGTTATTTAAACATATTTGTATAATTTTTTTTGCTTAGAGACGTAAAACGCTTAGATTATCAGTCACCACCTATCAAACTAAAATAATTTATTTCTTAGATATTATATATAGAAAAGTAAACATCAAATACAAAAATAAATAAAGAAAAAATAGCAATCTGGCTCATCAACTCATTACCGAGTCTGGGCCACCTTTGTCAGTTGGCTCTATCCTATGTAGCATCTCTCCAGCTGCAAAAATATGATTAGGGTTCTATAACAGCCTCCGTCCACCTCATATTCAGTCTCTCACCTCTTATTGTACCATGGATTTCCTAGGTGAGGATCATCATGTTTGGTGATCTCTGACACTATATCAACTATTCTTTCCATATCTATATCCACTGATTTTATGAGATGTCAGACCAAATTAATACACAATATATTTTATTTTACTAACAAACATCCAAAAACGATAAAAATAACAACCTATGTTATATTATTTAAGCTGTCTCCAATTTACTTATAATGCATGTAGATAGATTATTTCATTTCTGGATCTTCCTTGGGGGATCAATTCTACTATCACAACACTGATTATTAAGATAATTAAGCTGTTTCATAAACCATTCTACATTCATTGGCTATATTCTTGTAAAGGATATTCATCTTGCATCAGGAAGCTCTCATCTCTATGACTGAACTCCTTACACCAAAACTATCAATACTTGACTGCTCTCTAAGACAGACCTTCTCTACCATTTTTAATCACTATAAAAAACAAGAATAGTCCTAGTGTGTTATTTAGTTTTTTTGTTTTTTTTTAGATTACAATTCACAATTCTTAAAAAAACAATTTTACATTATAGTTACTCTCATGTATCAAATTTTCATTAATCTTACTGAAATATTATTATTTCTTCAGACTACCAAAATATACCTGACAATTTATCTCAATGTACATAGTTAAACCTATTTGATATGTAAAATAACAATATTTCAATTTAGTTATTAACTAAGCGCATTATTGAGACCTTTCTCCACACCATTAATAAAAACTGCATAGCACTTCTACTACATCTATATTTTGCCAGTTCATGGAAAAAGGAACGAGGAATGTTGTTTGAAATTTGTTCTCTTATTGAAACATATTTTTAATGACCTCATTTGAACCAATTCATTTCATCATTAATCCTTATTTTTAATTTTAGACTGATGATGGTGAAGATGATTTAAAAAAAGGCACTCAACTATTAGAAATATATGCTCTAGAAATTCAAATGTATACCACTCAAAAGAATAACAAAAAGTTGAAAGCTTTGTATGAACAATCATTGCACATTAAATCTGCTATTCCCCATCCGCTAATTATGGGAGTTATTAGAGGTAAAATTTTAAATATTTTAATGTCAGGGGATTTCCAGTGATTAATTTATTAAATATTTGAAAGTTTATATATTTCTTTTTAGAATGTGGTGGGAAAATGCATCTTAGAGAAGGGGAATTTGAAAAGGCCCATACAGATTTTTTTGAAGCATTCAAAAATTATGATGAGTCAGGAAGCCCTCGACGTACAACTTGTTTGAAATATCTTGTACTAGCTAACATGTAAGTAATTTATTAAGATTAAATTTAATTATTTTTCACTAAATGAATTTTTTTATTCAGGGTGTTTTTTTTTTAGGTTAATGAAGTCGGGAATTAACCCATTTGATTCACAGGAAGCAAAGCCTTACAAAAATGATCCCGAAATACTTGCTATGACCAATTTAGTGTCTTCTTACCAGAATAATGATATTAATGAGTTTGAACAAATTCTGAGGACCCATAGAGTTAATATAATGGATGATCCATTTATCAAAGAACATATCGAAGGTATTTAAAAACATTCCAAAATGTTCACCTTATCTTATTTCTTCTAGTTCAGGTTAAACTTATATAGTTCGAAGAGCTCTTCTCAATCTTTTTTTTTTTACCCCTTCTATCTATGCATTTTATATTGTTATATTAATAACTTGTTAAGTAACCAAAAAATATAAAAAGTCTATAAATACAAAAAAATATATAAAGTTAATGTTGATGTTTTTGAAGACCATTGCTAACAGTTGTGCATACCTCTAGGGGTCCATGGCCCTTGGTTTAAGAACCTATGTTCTAGTTTGTTTAATGTTTTATAAATAATAATGATAGCTAAATATTATTGTTTGTCTAGTGCTGAAAACACCCTAGAAGGGGGGAAAAAAACCATGCTTCTTTTCAAAAAATATTAGTTTTAGATCTGAGCATTAAAATATTTATTTTTTAATTCCATTACTTTGTTTTCATGAAGTAATATATATTTGTCATATTGTATTGAATAAAATGCAATAAAAGTATAAAATACAATCAATTCACAACTTTATATGAACATAGAAATAGGTTAGGAATAAAATTATTAAAATTTTCAGATCTGCTCAGAAATATACGCACACAAGTTTTGATTAAATTAATCAAACCTTATACAAGGATACATATACCATTTATTTCTAAAGAACTTAATATTGATGTAAATGATGTTGAAAGTCTCTTAGTATCCTGCATATTAGACAAGTAAGTAATATTGAGTAATTATTTAATTTTTGTAAAAGAATGGCTCATAATTAGAAGTCTATTTGTGACATCTGTAGGATTCTTACAATTTATTTTTTATGTCTTATGTTTAAGTAAGCTATTTTAACAAAGGTACAAGATGGTTCCTACGAGTTGACAATAGGGAAAGATACTTAAACTGAACCATATTTACCTTGTACGAAAAGTTATGTATTCTGTTAGCCTATAATTGGAAAAATCCAACCACAACAGCCTTGTGTCTCTAAAATACAGGTATAGAACACGATAACCTGTCAATCATTTTCCCAATGATATCTGAATTGGTAAAAGGTTGACAGGTTATTTTGTTATTTACCTGCATTTTAGAAACGCAGAACTGTTGTGGTTGGATCTTTTCAATTATTACACATCTTTTTTCGGTCTTTAGATGAGTTTTTCCTCGTTTTTATTAAGTAATTCATTTTATTTGTTATAAAAATTGAAGTAGGCAGGATAGATGCAAAATTTACTCACTTGATAGTAATAATGTTGGAATTAAATAAAATAAACAAAATCTTGCTCCTTGCTCCATCTGGGCATGAAGGTCTGAGATTTGGTCTTTGGTCTCTTGTATGCCTATAATTATACCTATATAATTGCTGGAAGTTTTAATATGGAGATAGAAAATAAAAATCTGAAGTATTCCCCCTGTTACTAACAATTAAATGAGATGTTCTATAAATTTATGAGAAAGTCTACCTAGGGAGACCTCTTTCTTTCCGTATTTGTTTAGATAGAGTGATGTGATATTGTTTTTTATGTTCTGGTGATGTCTGAATTGGCAAAACATTAACAGGTTAGTATTTTTTGTACCTGCATTTTAGAAACAAAAGGTTATGTGGTTGGATTTTGCCAATTATAGCCTAATATTTTTTTTGTATTTGGGTTTTATACAACTTAAGGAGTCATATCCACAACACCCAAAAGCCACTGCTCCCTGTCCATCCAATCTCCTTCACGGAGCCCTCTGGCTGCCATGCTTTCCTCTACGTCCTCTATTCATTTCTTCTTCTCCCTTCCACGCTTCCTTCTTTCAGGTGGCATATAGTTATAAATTTTCTTTGGCCAGCGGTTCTCATCCATCCGCATTAAGTGGCCATACCTTTAACCGTTTGGTCCCGATCAGGTGAAGGATGTTCTTTTGACATCCGACCTTGTCTCTAATAGCTGCGTTTGGGATCCGCTTGATTCTAGATATGCCACAGCTTCTTCTCCAAAAATCCATTTCCATGGAAAGCAACTTATTTTCCATCTTTTTTGTCATTGTCCAAACTTCTGATCCGTAAGTGGCTACGCTTTCTACAAAGGAATGGTATATCTTCTTTTTAGTTTCCAATCTTATTTCTTTACTCCATAGGGTTGAATTTATCGAACTTATTATTCTTTTCCCATTATTTATTTTATGTTCGATGTCAACCTCACTACCTCCCTTTGAAGATAGCCAGTATCCGAGGTACTTGAACTGCTGGCTGACATTTAGTGTCCAGTCATCAATTTCAAGGGGCAAACTTGGAGCGTTGAAAACCATGCACTCTGTTTTACTTTTACTGATTTTCAGATCCCATCTGGAATACTGCGATTATGACTTGATCATCGGCATACTGCAAATTGTAGATGACATCCCATGGTCCCATGGTCTCATCGTTGAACTTGCTGCCAACACGTCCGTTGAAGTCGCCCAAACAGATAACAATCTTACGGTCAGGTGTTCGCTCTATCAAGTCACAAATATCATCGAAAAACGTGTCTTTTATGGATTGCTTGGAATCTTCAGTTGGAGCATAGATCCCAAAAATAACAACCTCTTCTCCAAACAATGCCATTTCAAGTTTAATTATCCTCTCATTTACACATTCATAATTCTTAATATACCTGTGCAATCTTTTGTTAACCCCTGCTCTAGCTCTCTCACTTTTTTCCACTCCACTGTAGATACACACGAAATCTCCTGAAAGTTCATTGTAACTTCCTTTGATTTTAGTTTCACTGAGGACTGCCACATCAATATTTTGCTTTTTCAGTTCATTTTCCACCTTGTTTTTCTTGGTCCTCAAACCTTGGACATTCCACATACCAAAAAACATGTTCCGTTTCCGCGCCTTAAGTCGTTGCCAATTAGATCCGTCCGGTTTTCTTTCTGTTTCGCGTTTGAAAGCGAAATATTTTTTCCGATGAAGTGGTGCTGGCCCTACGATCAACCTTTTTTAAACTGCAAGGACAGTGGTTTGATTTTGGGGTTGCCTTCACTATGGCTATGAGTTCTGTCCACCCAGGTCGCAGTTTAACCTCATGCCCAGGACGTTATAACCTAATATAAAATAAGATTAACTTATTAAAATTAACATTTTTGTTGTATACTATGACATTTTCTTTGTACTCTTTTTTTAAAAGCATTAATTATATATTTTTCAAATATTTAAAAATGGTCAAAACTTTCTGAACATAATAATATGTTTAAAACATTTTTTACTATCAAGTTCCTTTAAAATAGTTTTATATGCAAATGATTTCTGTAAAAATGTACTTAAGAGATAAAAAGTATGAATATTTAGATAATTTTTAATTTACATTTAAAATTGAGGGTTTATATATATGTATATTGCTATAAGATATATATTCTACACTTACAGTTATTTTTATTTTCTAGTACGGTCCAAGGAAAAATTGACCAAGTAAATCAGGTTCTTGAGCTAGATAAAGAGTCAGGCTATGGATCCAGATACACTGCTGTTGATAAATGGACCAATCAAATTCAGACTCTCCAATTAGCGATCACGAACAAAATGGCATAGTGTGATTAAAATTCCTATCTTAATACAGCTTTTTCTTTTTCCAACATTTCTACACAATTTTTTTTTTCAAAATTGAAGCTCAATAAAATGTTTACTATTTTTATGTAAAAAAAAATGAAAAATGTGTAAATTAAAAAGTGACTTGTTTATTTTAAATTCCTTCATCCCTTTTTATTGTACATATGTATGTATATATATATATATATATATATATATATATATACACATTTTTTTTTGTTTACGCTGTGAAAGAGATGGCAAAAGGATAACAAAAGTCAGATAATTGCAGTAATTTTGAGTAGATCAAATATTTTTTTTATGAAACATGTTGTTAAATTGGATTCTGTACTTGTAAATTTGCTTTAATATCTCTTGCTGAAAACCTGACTATTTTTTGGCATTGAGTTTTGCAAATTAATTACTGATTTCCATATTGGAAGAGGACATTGCAAACAAAGACAAATTTATTTGTATTCTGCAAATTTGTGTTTGATTGCAATAAACAATAAAAATACATGAAGTTATATACAATGTGTCCATCAACCTTGAATTCCTTAAGATGTGGAATTCTGATTAAACTTTTCCATATTGGAATAAAACAATACAAAAAAAAAAAAAACAACGGATATTATGCTTGAAGAACAGTCATTCATTGGATACTTATACTTTTTAGCCCGATAATTTTATTTTTATATTAGTTCTTGGCTACAAATGTATAAAATATTGAGAAAAGGATTGATGATGTATTTGTTCTCCTTACCATCCTTAATTCCAAGACAGCCTGAAAAATCCTTCTACTTAACTTATCTGACATTCCTCTCTCCAACATGTACTCATTATATGTTTTCAACTATGGGTGAAAATAACTTTCCAGCTTAACTGAAAACATTTTGGTTAAAAAAAAAAATTATGTTATAATAGCCTCTAAAATTAAACATTAAGTCTTCTAAAAAATACCAGTATTCAATGGGCAGTGAAATTTTATTTGTTCGATCATCAAAACCACCAATCTTGTGTCTGGAATTCTTGCATTTCTTTGTATTCACCTTTACACATTAGCTTTAATATGTCATTTTTAAATTGATCAATGATTGTATTACTTTGTGAAATTAATAATTTCTGTATTTATTTTATTTTACTATTTCAAGTATTATTTTTAATAAAAAATCTGTGGTATATTGTAAAAACATATTGTTTAAAAAATGAATGATGATAGTTTGTAAAATTTAATATCGCATTTTAGTACAATAAAATTACCTTTAAATGTTATGTTATTCTTTTTTTTTTTCCTCATTCATAAATTTGGATCTTCAGAAAAAAAGTATGAACTGAAAAGCAGTTAATTTGAGCTCTTATAACTGGCCCACTATCGTACAAAACAGCTTTTTTCGAAAAAGGACTTTATCTACCTTAGATATAAGACTTCAAAGCTCAAATAGGTATCACTATGTATGTATTTTCTTGTTTTGAATCAAATGAAACAAAAATTAAATCAATAACTTGACGCGTTTTTGTTATGACAATATTGTTTTAAATTTTGAAAAATACTAACTAAAAATAAATCTCATAATGCAAGTCCACATTTTTGTGTAAATTTTGAAGATAGAAAGATTGAAATAAAAACTGACTTATAAATTTTAAATATATGGATTTATTACAGTTACAAAATATAGAACTGGATGTTCAAGCTTTAATATTAGAAATAAGAAAAAACAACTCATTTCTTTTTAGTATCATTTATTACAAGTATAATTACACAGTCTATCTTAATATTTCTTTTAAAAAATATAAATTTTTGTTAAAGGAGTATCTTTATTTTAAAAATGTCAATATCGTTTTATAATATTTTCACTTGATTATCTCTTGAAAATTATTATTATATTAAATTGTTTGGGTTTGAGCTCTGTTGAAAATTGTTTTATTTTTCAAAATTATTACATTTACCACACCTACTTAAAAATAAAGTAAAACTAAGTCCCCATTTTATTATTCCAATGGAATTAAAAAAACCAAATGTTCTTGAATTTGAATGTTCCTGCAAATTGAAACCCATCAAAAAATCATTACCTCCTAAATATGTGTTCCCCTCAAAATTTTTAATTTGTTGTATAACCACGTTCTGGATACCTCTGTTTTTTTTTACCGATTACTGGTTCACACTAGCGGATCCAGGATTTAATTTTTGAGAGGGGGGGAGAGGGTTACAGCCCGAAACCTTTTTTTTTCATATATATAATGATAAGTAATTTTTAAAAAAATAAAGAAATTAACTAACTATGAAATGGAGTTTAAGTGATTCTTGAAGTCTTATTAAATGTAATTACACGAACAATAATACTTTAAGAGATAGTTTTTAATATTTTTTCTATAAAACATAGTTATATTTTACCATTTTGGGGGCGCTTCAGCCAGAGTGCACACCCCATCTCTCCCCCCCCAAATCCGCGCCTGTGCTGGTTCATAGTCCGACCCGATTCTGTTCGCGAGTATGAGCGATTTGACTTCGGTTTTGCAAATCCGGTGATATCCAATTATAATCTGGCTAGTCGGCGATCGCTGAGGGGATTCCGAAATTAATGTTCTATATTTTTCTCGTACACCAAAAATAATTTTTTTTGTATTCGTCGATTTCCACAAATGTTTTGGGTCCCCAACATAAATATTATGTACTTTTTTTTTAATATCGTAAAATGATTGCGGCCTCCCTCTGAGGGCCCCAAAGATCATTGTTATGTATTTATCATTATTGTATATACTTTTGATTATTATTTTGCTTCTATTTATTTTATATTTTTTTGTACATATATTGTGAATGTTATCCTACCTCAATATAACCAATGTCTTAGAAATAGATTGTTGTAATACTCAATAAATAAATAATGTATTTAGCTAGTAATGTTGTATGTTGGGCCATCAAAATAATTGTTATCTATTCCTTCATTTTCCTCAAATTTTTGGGCCCCCAACATAAATATTTTGTACTTTTTTATTACCGTAGATGAAAATATGAATGAAAATAGTCTTCATTTTAATATTACGCCACTATGTTGAGTTGTTCTGATTTTTTCGATATAAGGGCCTATTTATACATTATTGTAGCCTTAATTTTCGAAAATCATCTCCGTTTTAAGATTACGCCAATACGTTAAGTCTGATCTGCGTTTTTCGAGTTTCTACGATATAAGTGCACATGTTTTCGGATCCGTAGATCTTGAGAATGATTTCTATTTTGAAATTACGCCACTGCTATTTTTTACTTATTTGAGCTTTTTAGATTTCTGCAATATATTAAGGGCCTATTAATATGTTTTTTGAAAAAATGTCTATTTTAAGGCTTCTCTAGCGCATTTTTTATTACTTTTGGAGTTCTTATATTTCATCATATCATAGATATACTTTTGTCCATTAATTTTTTTTATAATTAAATCACTTAATCAAATAAAATTAAATAATGTCGTGCAGTGTCGTAATAAGCGTTTATCTGAATATTCCTACGTTCATTTTTTTTTTTTTTTTTTGGGGAATTTGTTATAATTTGATTAAAAAATTTATTTCAGTATATTGAAAACGAACATTGTCTCTGATAAATTTCTAACAAGTAAAAAATATTTCAAAAATGTATACCTGCAATTTTCATGTTTACTTAAAATGTTAGTGTCGTGATAATGAGGTATGAGGTACCCGTAATTATTTTTCAATTCTGTTGTTAAGTATAATATTTGATGATAATTCTTATAGTTTTCTGTGAATCATAAAACTTAAAATATTTGTGGTACTTAGTATCAAAAGCTGCTCCATATAATACCAAGTTGGTACAATAAATAGTTCTACTTCTAGAATTAAATAAATTACTGTTATTTATGTATTATTATTCATATGTATAGGGATACAAAACAATTATTTTGGGGGCCAAACATACAACGGTACAAGACAAATGCAAAATAACGATATTCGGGGCCCTAATAGGAAGCCCCCAATCATTCTATGGCCATAAAAAAGTAAAAAACATTTATGTTGGGGACTCATCAAAGGAACCCCAAAAATTTTCGTAAGCAAACCAGTACAAAATAATTCTTTTTGGGATACTTTAAAAATTCTAACAATGATTATGGGGCTCCCCTGGCCCGGGGGCCATCGGCGATCGCTGACTATTCAACCTGGCTAGACCGGATCTGTTCCTGTACATTTCCATTTTTTTTTTAAGTATGAAAGAATGTTCGATTCACCAAAAGACCTAAAAGCGTAAAGATAAATAAAATGTTACAATAAGCTGTGAAGTTACGACAATTACGATACCAATAATTTAAAAAACCGAGATTAAGTTATTAAAAGCATTTGGATGTTTTGGAGGAGATCAGAGACAATTCCTTAATGTTTGTTCGGCTCTATAAAGCTATACCCTCAAAAATTGCCTGAGATACTACATTCTCGTTATAAGATCAATGTAATTGTTTTAAGCAGAAAATTCTATATATAAATTTTTATTCAAGGAACCTTCAGGTGCGATATACGTACAAAGCTTCATATTGCAACTTAGTGATGGGCAAAACTGTCAATTGAGCCTTTCAATTGGCAGAATACACTAACTCCAATTTCAAAATTTTTGAGTAAAGTCATTTTAGTGATATTTCTAGTTGGAACATTTATAATATCTGTACAAACAGGGAGTAAGTTGATTCCAGAGTAGGCGATCAGTGTTGAAATATAGAACTGTGAATAATGGTATACATTTTTTCACTAAAAGTATTACAAATATTAATAATAAAAAATGTTGAAATTGGAGTTAGTCGTTCTTTCAACTGAACAGTTGCAACAGTTTCTACTACTTTTAAAAAACAGATACAACTGTTTCAAACCTTAACAAGTTCGCTGTCTAGCGAAACTTTTAAAAAAAGTTTCCATCACACCCACCCCAAAGCCAAATAACATTCAAATATTGCGAGTTTGACCGTGTGAGGTGTAAGTAAAACAAAAACGTTCTACGAATTAACTAGTAGCTGAAGTACGAATTAACTGGTGCGTAACTCATTGGCAGCGAACGAACATGTTAAAAAGAAAAAAAAAAAAACTTTTTTCTTTCTCTTAATCTATTCTTTTCGTAGGATATATTGAATGACATAAATTTTGGTAGGTAATTATTCTCAATAATTTCCCATGACATCTCAATGACCAATGCTTTAGAACTTAGCAGACCACTGACGGATCCAGGATTTAATTTTGGAGGAGGCTTTAGCCCGAAAGCTTTTACATATATATATATATATATATATATATAAGTTAAGCCTAGCGGGCTTGAAACACTTAAAAAAAAGTACTAGGGTTAAGAAATAACACGCATGAAGACGAAATCAAGACTGCTTTATTTCTCCTTCTAATCCTCTATAAATACATTCTGAGATTGTTTACATCAATGCATTTGGTATTAACGCTAATACTGTCCCGCTCCGTACCTTAACTTATATATATATATATATAACGATAATTACTTTGAAATAAACTAAGTACCTTTATCAAATGGTGTTTGAATGATTCTTGAAGTTCTATTGTAATAAGACGAATAATAATACTTATAGGAAAAATTGGAACTTTCGTAAAAGTTGGGAACGAATTATTAAAAATAGAAAACAATGATCCATTGTTGAATGGAAAACTTTAAACACTTCTCTGAAAATTATCCTGGGTATTGACGATACATTAGACATGTATCACTCCTTCATGGACTTCGATATTAATCTAAAACCATATTGTCTGATCACTTGTATATCTTCTAACTATTTCTTGGAATATTTATTATTTCATTGATCTAGTTTTCCGCCTTAACTAGCCTTATGATAAAAAAATACTAGTTTATGTAAAACGAAAAATTAATGTTTTAGCGATTACATTAAGTGAATGTCAGACTTTTATTTCTTGTTGTACATTTTGGCTTCTTTAATACCAAGTTTTGCGATTTTTTTTTTAGTTCATGAAATCCGTGCTCTAATTATTATTCTGCATATACGGCAAAATCAATACTTTTCCAAAGTTAAAAAAAAAAAAAAAAAACTGTTGTTTTAAAACGCAATTCATGTAAAAATCATCAAAGGTGTTTGATTATTTGTCATGATCCTATATGGATGAAATGAACTGATAGAATTATATGAATATTTAGTAAGTTCAATATCCTTCAGCTAGGTACATTATGCCAAGATGATGTATACGGAAAACTACGCGATGTTTAATCAAACTAATATGGATGGTACTTCATATCATAAATAATTAAATTTCATATTATATTAATTTTTATCTATCATAAACTGGGTTTGATATATTAATGAATATTTTATTAATGTTAATAATTTCTTCATCTTAGTGACCGTGGTTTGGATCCTCGGTAAAAAGTAAAGTTTGTTTCTTTATTGACCTTATTAATTATAATAAAATATTGCCTCATAAAAACGTTTATTTATTTATTTTTTATGCCTCCCTTAATCAAAGTCAATTTCTGGATCAGCCCAATTTATTAATATTAAAAATAGCGGATACTGTGACTGAAATAACTGAGATTTCATATCGTTGTATAGACCATTTAGTGATAATTTGTTGTAAAAAGTTGTAAAAATAATTTATGCCACAAAAGTAGGCAACCTGCCGCACCGTGTGCGGTCCCCTGTAAACTTTATCATTTTATATCAGTATTTTAGGTAATATTTAGGCCAAGTAATGTACCTCTGTCTATATTTAGTCACGGAATTTAGGAATGAAATTTATAAAATATTTAATGAAAAAATAAAAACTCTTCTAGTAATAATAATATATTCATAATAAATGATTACAAATACAGTAGACTTAAACAATGAATAGTTACTATAAGCTTAAGCAGTGACATACCTAGCGGGGGAGGGTGAGAGTGGGGGAGGAGACAGTCCGACTCGAACCCCACTTACTAAAGGGCTATGCGATAGGTATTTATTTTTTAATTAAATAATAAGTTTATTGTAAAAACAAACCAACAAAAACATGTATTTTCTGAATTAGACCAGAAAGTGATTGTTTTTATTTAAAAAAAAAAAATCTTTTTTTGAGTAGTGAGCTTCAAAAATAAATTTACTACGGGCCCCTAATGGCCTAGGTATGCCACTGACTATAAGTACTCATATTAACCAAATCTTGCATAAAATATAATCCCAGATGAACAGTTTACCTAGTTTTAGTGATAAAAATGATTTTCCTTAAAATTAAAAAAAAATGTAGGCAGAAATTTACTAAGTAATTAATACAGTGGTAGTTGACATGTGAGTAATTATTTATTTAAAAATATGCATAATTTAGCTTTAACTTCATTACGTTGATTCGATTGTTATTCAAGTGGTTGTTCTCCCGAGATTTGTGAAACGTTATGTTACAGTAGGGGGTACCATAGACAAGACTAGATCAAAAGTTAATGTTGCCAGCGTCAATCAATCATAAAATATTTGGTAAATGTGAGAATCCATCCATTGTATAGGTTATTTCTTCTTCTACTTCTAACGGATTCGGACCACGAATGTTGCTAGTTGTAAATATTCTGGTGGCGTGCTCATTGGATGCATCTTGCTAGCAAGTAACTCGGTGTTGTAAAAAGACAAACCTTCATATACTTCATTTGACTGCTAACCATTCTTTATGTTTCGCAGTAAGTTGAAATACTGAAATGCTGTTGTGATTACCTTTAACAATAAGAAAAAAATAGGGTGTTATATGTACTCTGAAACAATAATAATAATAATAATTAGTTTTTAGTCAATATTCTTGATATTAATTTAAAAAATTACTAAAATCTCATTAGCAATTTGAAAAACAACATTATTTACTAATCAGTAGTTCTTGATAACAATTCTGGATGTTCCTATAAGGTTGGAGGTGAAAAACGAATGTTATTTGGACATATATTATTTAATATACGTAGGAAATGCGGTCCACTTTGCAGGGCTGCTAAAAACAAAGGAAAATTCCTGATATGATGAAAATAAATAGAAAAATTCTTATTTCTGCCTCCTCTCAGGTTCTCTTCCTTTTAACTCTTGTTTTGGCGTGTGTCCTTGAAGTGGTGGATGCAGGCTTTAATGGGCCAGGTGCAGCACGATATTGTGAAGCACAATAGTTGTGCACGAAAATGCACAAAATAAAAAAAGATTTCAGTAAAAAAAAAATATGAAGTTATTGAAAAAAATATTATCTGTTTACTATTGATAAATACATTAGTTACCTAAGATATTTTACTCAATTAATCGGGCATATTATGATTTTACACTTGTTAGGAGCTTTTCAAATTTAATTATGAAGTTATCTTTAATTTTTAACGAAAATTTGACATTATAACCATTATAACTCATATTTTTGGTAGTTAGTGCGATTTTTCCTATATAATTATCAACAGTATTTTCACACAATATACCTACTTAGTGAAAAACCAATTTTCGTTGTTTTAAGCCAGTAATAATGTCTCTGTTAATTAATAATGATAAAATAAAGCAAACAAATATTCTGTTGGACTCGTCCGTCCGCAGCCGACAGCAGGTCTAAAATCCATTTTTTTTTTACTAAGATTTAACTCCAAAAAAATATTAAAGAAGATTCCAGCTGCGTTCACCTGCTTCTGTGATCAGTCTGATTTTGTCTGTCGAATTATCCTTGTTATTAAAGTCTTACAAGGAAATATATCGTGAAGAAAAATGCATAAAATTAACAGATATGAAAAACATATAATAATGAAATGTTTTATTAAATGAATATATTGTGAATTATATAATGTTTAACTTCACTTACCTTTGTATGAAAATAAACATCGTCGGATTATTACAAAAAGTCATCAAGTGACATTTTATAACCTCAAATAATTATGAATTTTCTCTTTGTAACTATATATGGTAAATAAAAAGGTTTAGCGTCATTTACATGCCCTTACAGTGTTATTCTATCGATAAATAAGGTCGAAATAAACGAAAACCTATTTGAAAGTTAACCTATATCAAAAAATGCACTTAGTGACTTTTTGCAATAAACCGACGATATTTCTACTCAGAGTAGTGAAACTTGTGTGATACGCTCACCGCACCAGATTCATTTATTTTATAAACGATTGATTATACATACGTTGTATACGATATCAGTGGTAACACAACGTTTCAAAATTAGGATCTATATAAAATTGATTTTGTAACTTTTTTTTCCAATTTTTTGCTGCGATATCTCTGTTGGGGAGTAGATAAAACTATGACAATTTAACTAGCGAAAAGGTATGTAGGGTATCAAATTCAACATGAATTTTAATTTTAAGATTCAACTCTAAGATATATGTTTAATTTTCAAGTTTCATTATTTCACCAACGCGTATAAATTTAACATTGCATATTATTACAATCACATTAGTCTTACAGTACCATTATTTAATTAAATTATTTATTCTAATTAAAATGTTTATCTTGATTTGATGGGTTTAAATATTTAAACCACTCTGCTTGCATGAACACTTCTCTGATACGCATAAAAATGCAATTTTGTATGCCTTCATAGGGTTGGATCCAACAGTTGAAATTCATATTAGAGTTTGATGCCATAAGAACTATTTGTGTGTCGAATTTTGGCCTCTCAAAACACCAAGGAATGGATCAACAAACTATCATGTTTTTTCATAATGTTGAAGCAACTACTATTTATTCTATTTTATTTATTTGTCTGATTGGATTGGTCTAACCTTCGACAAAAATCTTTGAGTGAATACATCTAATAAGAGATTTCATTGTGATTAAGATGGTATCAATATTATTTTTCTAAACAAATCAGGATTGGTTTTAGTTTTTTTTTTTTTTTTGTAAACATTTTCAACCACTGTGCAGTATACTGAACCAATGCCGGCCTTAGACATTTCGTCGCCCCCAGGCAACATCAACTCTCCCCCCACCTCCAAAAAAATTATAGCTGTCCTTGGAAGCAATCAAGAGGATATATTTCTTCCTTTTTTTTTCAATAACATTGTAATAAAATCGTTTATTTAAAATCTTTGTTTGTTTATAACGGCTTTGAGGCGCAAAACCCTAGGGTCATCAACGCCTGTTCAGTTCTTTGTTTTTGTTCTATTTAAAATATATTGTCAGTAATTATTAACTGGTGCTGTGTAATAATATGTCTCACCCAATTGTACGTTTCTAATGAAGCTTCAACATTAAATATACTGGTTTTTAAACGGATCGGTCTTATTGTTCCACATAGCATTATCCCTATACAGCCCTTTACTTTCTTGTCATATTGAATCCAAGGGATATTGAATAGGTTGTTGAAGATCTCTCCACTCTGAAAAATTTTAGGTATTGACTATAACAAATTATGAAGTATTGTAACAAAGAGTATAAATACTAACGAATTATGAGCTCAGCCCACATCAATATCTCGACCCTTCCAAGCGTGAAATAATTTTTAAAATAATTCATCTACAATATTAGAGGTTTCAAATATATTATAAAAGGATATCGAACACGCATTTATCTTGAAAGAATACAATAGAATCAAACGCGAATTGACTTAATTATTAATCATACCATCTAAATAAACATTTTCTGAAATAATATCATAGAATAGTAAGGAAATAATTTAGTCAAACTGCCCATATACAACCTCAATACCTTATAGTACTCAAGGGAGTTTTGGTGTCCTCTGAAACTTGTAAGTAGAAATATCAAAGCAGTGGACGACGCACAAACAGATTAGGAAAATAATCTGAGGTGGCTAAATTAGGATGGAATTGAATTTTTAGATTAAAGCGAATTTATGAGTATAAAATAGCCCAATTCAGCGCAAAGAAATATTTAAACTATCTCCACTTTGTATTTTAACTATATGTACAGTTATTGTTTTTGGAGAAAAGAGCAGTTGAAAGGAGCGGAATAATCTGTTAAGTACACATCTGCATAGCCAAAATGAAATATTTTAGGAAAGAACCTGTCTGAAACAGAAGATAAGATATCTACAATTAATAGTTTAAGAAAGAAAATAGACAAATTAATTTATTAAATATGTAGGAGAGGTAACCCAGGAGTTCTTGATATTGTGTTCAAAATCGATATAACGGAGATCGATCTTATCCAATACTAGATAATTTCAAGGTATCAATGTTTTATAAAACCGAGTGGGAGGTACAAACCTTTCCACACAAGGTCTGCATTTGCTGATGGTGGGATAGAATAACATGTTGAAGGATTTGTTCACTCATGGAAAAGGGTTGGAGTATACATAAACTGAGCTCAATTCTCGACCATTTTAGCGTGACTTTTACCTCTTTTGCAACTCTCTCTCCTTCCCAGCAGAGCTGATACACAAAAAACAGTTCGGCACTGACGATAGCCAAAAACTTAATAATATCCTCTGTGTGGCTGTTGGGCTAAATCAAATTTATCATGTTAACTATTTAATTAACTATGCATTAAATGATTTTTAATTAATTACCTTGGTAATGAGAAATCCAACGGCTCCTAGTATAATGGAGGATAAGAAGATGAACAGCAGTAATATAGTCCCTAAATATATCTTAGTCAAAGAATAATATCTGGAACAAAAGGGGTTATTCAAAAATATTTGAAAGAACTATAATAGCTATCTTTTTTAGTTTTTCTTTAAAAAACTTTAAATCCTTCTCCTAACATGGTATGGAGCTTAATTGTAAAAATGAAATATCTGCAGAAGTGAATTGACGGATTATGGCAGATAACCGGGCTTACTACGCAAACATACTCTTCTGGTCATCGCTGTTGTCACGAACGACAAAAATAAGGTTGTATAAAACATTAGTAAGACCAGTAGTAACATATTCTGCGGAAACTTGAACCCTTTGCTGCTCCTCAATAAATGCGTTGAAAATTTCCGATAGGAAAATTCTCTGTAAAATTTATGGACCTGTATTGAAAGAAGGTGAGTGGAGAATCCGATAGAACAGCGAATTATATGAGCTGTATTGATCTTGTGATATTGTCCGCTTCATCCGAGCAAGGAGAATTGAATGTTTGGGACACGTAGCACGGATGAATGAATCAAGAACGCAGAAAAGAATTCTGCTTGGAAAGATGTATGGTAACAGAAGGAGAGGACGACCTCGGAGACGTTGGATTTAGGATGAAAGAAAAGAGAAATAAAGCATGATTTTTGTCGATCCACCATGCTTCAGTTTTTCCAATTAATGGAAAAGTGAATTCTTGAAAAACTATATATTAACATATTGAAACATATATTGAATGAAAATGATGTGGACTTTTGCCCCATCGTCGAGGCAGGAGCAGCAACTGACAAACCTGATATGCACCGAATCTACGGATACATATTTCCTTATTATTTTCGGTTATTCGCTATGTATTATCCTCCTCAAAACAAATCGGATCTCACATCGTTGGAAACGAACTGGAATCGAGTGAATATTCAACACGGGGACCTGAATGTTCCTTCCATTATATTTCGTTCATTCAAACCCGACCAAATATATTAAAAATTAAACAATACGTTCTGCCTTTCTTTATTTAACTGGCAGTATCTCCAAACCCGATGTATCTCCTACCATCTATAAGAGGTTTCAGACACAATACCCTTATGGTCAACTTGAACTTGAATCAAGATAATAATAGTAAGACCAAGGAACAACAACTGCCACGATGGAATACAAAGAAACGGTATTGGAAGATTTTCTAGTAATTGATTGATTGCCTGACAAATTGACTCTGATAAATTTATCATAAACGGAAACGTAGATAAGTCATTTAATAATATAAAAGAAAATTTATATTTACTACCTCGGTCGGAAGTATATCCACAAATTTTGAGGGAGAGGTGAGAACCTATTTTTCTTGGCTCTTGAGGGATTGGTCGAACGGCATCACAATAAAGTCCCTCTCTTTATCAGAAGTGCCCATCCCCCCACCCAAGGTCCATGGCACATGAATCTCCTCCCTCCCCTCTCTAACCTATTTAATTGCTTTCGTCTTCTTAAAATATTCGAAATAAAAGTACCGTAGATCATATACAATTACACTTGCAATAATTTGTTCCATGTATTCCTTTTTCTCCTGTTTTGAAACTTTTCAATCTAAAAATTCAAAACCTCGTCGAAATTTGTCCTCCTCAAAAATTCAAAATCCTGTCAAAATATGCCCCTCTCAAAAATTTTGATGGCGATGCTTCTGCCATCAAACCCCGTATTGGGCACCCCTGCTCTTTATGACTCGCAGGCAGCCATTATGTCACTCTAAAATGGATATAATACGCATCCAAATGCCCTTAAATACCATCTTTATTTGGATCTATTAAAAGAAAACGGGACAGAAGTCGCTTTTCATTGGATACTGGGCCATTAAGGGTTCCACGGAAATAACAAGGCTAACAAACTTGCTAGAATAGGGTCTTGAATAAACCAATCAGACATTCAGGTAATGCAGGATTCAGGTAAAAAGGATACTGAAAATAGTAGGAGGGACTCTCTCAAGTTTACTAAAAGAGAAATATGCCAAAAAATTGAAGGTAAGCGATGGAGTGGGTTCTGGAAGAAAGTGGTCCTAAGTGATCCTAAAAGACATCCCAAGAGGTCAATCCGTCGCATACTTGAGAATTCTTACAAGGCATGATTTCCTGCAGAAGTACCTCCACCGCATTAGCATAACAGATAGCCCAACCTGTCCTCTATGCTCTTTGGATACTATGATTGGGGAGCATCTCGACTCCTGCCCTGCATTTCAGGATATAATATGTACTTTTACTGTGAAATCATATTGGGTTTGCAAAATTATGAATCTCTGATCAAGCAGCCATTATTCAGGCGTAGTAAGAAAAAGAATTCAAGCTAAAAAGCAAGATTTAAACGTATTTAAATTTGTTTATAAAGTACGTTGATTTGCTCATATAAAGATTATTATATGATAAACATTGGGATAGTTGCAATATTGCTGTCCAGGAATGTCAAAAGGAGAGGAGTGAGGAAAACAGAATCCATCAAAGAAAGATGAGGCAAAGAGTTGAAGATGAATTGGAGCTGAAAATACAGATATGAGAAAATATCAAGAGAGGTTTTCAGGAGCATCACTAGTCCTTCTAAATACCCTGAACACATTTACCGGAAACTTTTAGAGACAAGGATGAAAATATTATGGTCTGCAAGGGTGACATCCTATTGTAATGGAAGAGTCACTTTTAGGAACTTCTCAATTCAGTTCTCTGTGGATCAGACGCAAGTCAGTCATAACTTATAAATTTAACCTTCAACCACCTAGTGGTTAAGAAATAATGAACGCCATTGATGGGCTAAAGAATAATAAGGCACCTAGGGTCGACTAGTTCCATAAAATTGGGCGTACAGATATATTCTGCCGTTACTGTATGGCTTAATAAATAAAGTATTTTTCTTTATCTTTTAACTAAATAAATGACTATAATTGAATGCTTACTCTAAGAGCATTTGATGGTGCACAATGTCTTCCTTTAGGCACTTGTAGACAAGAGACTGGAAATATGGCTCTAGATTTTCAATATCGTTCACTTTCATTTTGAATTTTTTGGATGCTCTGTTATGTATTGCTTTTATCGAATCATTAAGAAGTTTAAGCTCTCCCCTAAGCCTGCCCATAATACCTCTGAAAGATTGATGTATGCTTGTCGATACTCCGCATATGTAGAACAAACTGATAGCTTCCCAAGTCATGCCAAGAGAAAAGCCCAAATTATCACTCGTATCAAAAGGCATATACAGAGGCACTGGCAATTTTCTAACTGACGCATCGGCACTGAATATTTGCCTCATAGGGGCGAACAGAAGATATCCAATGCAAGAACCACTCATAAGGAAACAAAATACTTTGTTTGTCTTCACAGAGTTGGTATTGATTTCGATGTGGATTTGTCTATTTTCTTCAATATTATTAGAGTATTCTTTGTAAGCTAAGTTTATTAGTTCCCACGCCTTGTCTAATTTTGAATCATTGTACAACTCATTGCTCATATACGATATTATAATAACTATTACTAAAACATAATGTATAGACTCCACTTTTTCAACTATATCATCTGTTGAATAGGCTAAAACGATTCCCTGAAGAACAACAATTAATAGCAAAATATAAACCGAAATAATATACAGTAAGTTAAAGGTATTAATTGAATTTTGTCGTTTGGTATATTTCAAGCAACAAACCATCCTCAAAAGATTTCTTGTCTTCCTCTCATTCACAATTATATCATCTAAGTCGCTCATATTCCTGTTTAGTTTATGTTACCTAAAAGTGAGATCACAGAGAATTAAATAATGTTGTGACTGCACTAACTTAAACGTTAGTACCCAAACAAACTTATATATGTTAAATTAATAATATTTACCAACATATACATAGATTAGAAGATCGAAATGCCAACTTTCAATAAATGTATAATTCAATAAGTAATATAGGAGGTTTTGGAAAAAACAAAATGTGATTAGCTCGAGGCAAAAAAATGTAAATAATTTGTGTATATATATAATATATATTCTCATAGAGCATTATACAAGTTTTAATCTAGTTTCTTTCTTATTATTATCGCGATCCTTGAAACGCTTGCTGTGAAAGAGTATGGTTTTTTATTAACAGTGTTGTATCTAGCATGTGTACGGGGGGCCATTCAAAGGGGGCCCCAAAATTCGCAAAGTCTTAAATTTAAAAACCCATGTTAACCAATAATATAACCCATATTCAAATATCTCGCGATTTCTGTAACAGATAAGCTGTGGTGAACAAGCGGAAGAGAATCCGGACAGCGTAGTACCCAAGTAAAATCTCCTAGGAAATTATGGATATAAACGCCATACTTCACAAACTGAAGTCTTTGTGTTAAAAAATGAGGTCGAACAAGCGGGACATCGAGGAGATCTATGTTTGGATCTCGGTTTTTACATGGCCGAACCACTTCAGCCGGTGATCCTCTACGACCTCCTTCACTGAGATTACTCCTAGTTCCTCTCTTATCCTCTCATTGCGGACGCAGTCTCTTTATGTGTGCCCAGCAATTCTTCCAAGAAACCTCATTTCCGCAGCTGTCATCCTGTTATGCTGTTACCCATCTATCGTATTATCCAGCTTTGAGCTGCATATGGCAAGTATACCGACTTAAAGATGTGGAGCTTCACGTTTCTGCCAACCTCTTGCTTTCCAATAACAGTATTGCACATCTGGTAGTAGACCGCGTTTGCCTTACTTATATTGTGTAGAATTTCTGAATCGACTTTCCCTTCCCGTTCCACATCTTTTCCGAGATACTTGAAATCCGGGACTACTCCCCTTTTATCTCCGTTACAGAACACTTCGACACATGAACACTTCCTTTAACCTTCCTACCTGAATGATCTTGCTTTTGTCATTATTGAGAACCATTCTTTTTCTACGGAGCTCTTAGTAGCATTTACTGGATTCAAAAATAAATTGTATAAAAAACTCATATAAGTTCACAAGAAAATATTTATCCGATTAAATTACATCGGTAAGCACAGCTTCGCTAATAAATGGTTCATTTATTTGTGTTTTTTACGTATCCTCTATCCTGTAGGATCTTGGCAATACAAATAAATTAGTAGTTAAGATCGAATAAAATAATTGAATGTAGGAAAGTATGGTCCGAATTGATATATTTTATTTTTTAAGGAAACCCAGAAATATATCACAATCTATTAGTTAATGAAAGTAGGATTGATTTTGTTTTATAATCGTCAAATAGGAAAAATATACATAAATATAGATATAGATAGATATAAAGGAAAAATTAAATAAATTGATTTTTTTTTTTTCAGGAAATTTCTTTATTGAGATATATTACAATCTGTCATTTGATTTTTTAAAGTTAATACTTATAAGAAAGACACATTTATCACCTATTTCAAAAAATATTTTAAAACGTAGCTAAACTAATGAGAAATGGTTTATTTTGGGTGAATATCTGAGGGAAATGCCGTTGAATGTATAATCCTTCTAGTGCAGTGAAACAAAGGGGAAAAAAACACTCGAAACCCAAATGTCCATACAAAAAAAAAAAAAAATGAAACTTGAAAGAAAAGTTTTATTACCCCCCTCCCCGATAATAACTGGTAAAAAGCACCAAAGTATCACCCCCGTTTTCAGTTTGGGTCTTGATGTAGGGAAAGGAAGGTTGACGGAAAACTGATATTTTTTTGTTTTTTCCGAATATTTAAAAAAATATGAGGTTTATTTCAAATATCTTTCAGTAAAATATTAAAGTACTTTAATATATTTACCAAAAATACTCTACTACGTTATTTTAAATAAAATCATTGGTTACGGAGTTTATAATTATAAAATTTGGACTTGAAGCAAAAATTGATTCAAACAATGAAATTAATGTTGTTCATAGTAGATGATGCCATTTCGAAGTTGATTATTCAAAAACATTTCTGATCGTTCGCATCACAGGCGGATCCACGGGAGGAGGAAAGGAGAGGGGGGGGGGGTTTCGGGCTAAAATCACCCCTCTCAAATAGTAAAATATAACCATGTTTTATGAAAAAAATTATCTCTAAAAGTGTTATTGTTCGTATAATTACTTTTAATAGGACTTAAAGAATCACTTAAACACCATTTCATATGGGTACTCAGTTTCTTTACTTCTTTCAAAGCACTTATCGTAATATGTATAAAAAAAAAAAAAAAAAGCTATCAGGATGATGCCATCCCCCCAAAATTAAATCTTGGATCAGCTAGTGGTTCGCATTATAATTAAAAGCTTATTTGTTTCGATGATTTTAAAAAATCATTGACAACATATTAGTGTTCGATATCAATCAATCAGGAATTCCGTGATATTTATATGATGTTTAGATTGGCATTGATTTTATATTATTGATAATATGTGATGGCAGAACTAAAAATCTACACGGTGGTCTAAAAACGTGGTTTGATTTTTCACAGGAAACCAGGGAATTTAAGTTTTGTACTTTCTTAAGCCAGACACGGTTTTGATTGAATAGAAAGCGAGAACTAAAATCATGTTTAATTTAGATTATTAACAGTCTAGCTTTATAGTAAACTAGACAAACTTTCCTTCAAACGAAAATAGACATTGTATTTAATAAACATTTATTGGTAAATTCCGTTTTCATAAAATCGTGAATTAAATGCGATTTTTGTTTTTTAAAATATATCAATAAAAAAATATCAATAAATACCATATTGATTAAGGCGAGGTTTGTTGCAGAATAAGTTGAGATTCAATTCCAGTTGAGAAAAAAAAACATTATGTGATTTAATCAAATTAATCAAATTATGTAATATTGTATCACTCCAAAGTGCCGGGATTTTTACAAAAAAAAACCATAATTTTTTGAATAGCTTTAATTTTTTTTTTTTTCTGTGACCTAGGATGTGTTGTAGAATATATACAAAAAATATGCTTTTAAAAAAAAAAAGTTAAAAATAAAATAAAAACAGAATGGAGCACTTCCTAAACTGTTTTCATTACATTTTACTAACTTTGGCTATAAATTGGACCTGTTTTTTAAGGTAGGGATCTGTATTTTAAAATGAGATAATAATAATTAATATAGAATATTCTAGCTTCTATGAAGTTGCTTTACTTACCGTATTTATGTTTTAATAAATGGTACTATTGCCTTAGCATCACTATATAACTCTATCCTTGAATTATTATTTTTTTGTTACATTATTAATTATTATAACATCGTTTATTTTAGTCTTGATTATACTTAAGAATACTGACAGTGAGATATTGCTCTGTTATCATATGTAACTGATCTAAGCCTGTAACAAAGCTTCAGCTACCTATGCCTTCATTAAAAATAGATTTGACTCATATACGAACTAGGGAAGTTCAACGGTCACGACATGCTATTAGGATGCTCAAATCATGTAATTATCAGTGACCGCTGAAAACGCGTTCCATGCCGAATTTCGAAGTCTTATGACATATATATATATTATAACCCTACTGAACAGAACCAATCATAACGACTTTATGAATAAGTTATCAATTGAATAAAAACAAATTTAATGAAAACATATGGTATTGTAAGGGATGTACATAGCGTGTCTGTTTCATTAAATAAAAAATAAAAAATCATTGGGTACAAAAAATGAAAAGTATAATAAATTAGGCCATTCAAATGTGGATTTTTGGTGGCAGTAAACTTTGGAAAGCAGGGAATCTTTTTGATCGCTTAATTTTCCTTCAAAAAAGCTTATGCTACTAGTTTTTTACTGTGCATTAAAGGTACCTAACATAACAAATAAATAAATGAAGCGTCATAAATAATAAAATAAATTGATACTTTCCTTTGATTTAAAAAAAATACAAATAGAGTATAATTATAGTGATAAAAAATAATAAGTTTTTGATTTTCTAAATTTAGACCAATATTGAGCAAAGGCTTCCTCCCCTCCAATAAAGCTAATCCTCTCTTAATTCGGCTTTCCTCGTCTAGTTTATGCCTGCTGCCACTAGCTGATCCAGGATTTCATTTTGGGGGAAAGGGCTTCAACCCGAAAGATTTTTTTTTCATATCTATATAACAATAATTAGTTTGAAAAAAAAAATAAAGAAATTAACTACCTATATGAAATGGTGTTTAAGTGGTTCTTGAAGTCCTATTAAATTTAAGGTACTTCTTCACTAGGAGGGAGTATCTTAAAAGGGGAGTATCCTAAAAAAGGAGTATCTTAAAAATAAAATAATTGAAATAGAAACTAATAGAATCGAAAATAACGTAAGAGACATGTACAAATGTATAAACAGATCACGTAAATATGTAGGGCCCGTAACGTCTGGAATTAGGGATGATAATAACAA